CATCTGATTCAATTCTAAGAAACATTCTGGCTATATTTCTTCAAAGGCAGATATGGTATATTTAATATTCTTCACCCTCAGCAAAATTCAAAGGCATCCATTTGACTTCGGTTTTCCTTATTCATTGTCCAGCTTTCACTTGTATATGAGGGGAATAAAAACACCAAAAGTTGGACTAGGCACACTCTAGTTCTCAAAGTGACGTCTTTGCTCTTTAACACTTTATTCTTTTGCAGCAAAGTTGCCCAATGCAATGCTGTTGTTAAGTGTCATCAAGTTGGTGTCAACCCATCGTGATCCTGTACAGGGTTTCTGAGGAGCGGCTGGTGAGTTTGTGCTGCCAACCCTGTGGATCAAATTGACTTTGCAGTCCAGCGCATTAACCCTACAGCACCACATAGTTTTATTTCTTGGTCGTTTCTTCCATGGGCATTGATTGTGAATGCAAGTAAAACGAAATACTTGATAACTTCAATCTTATCTCCATTTATCATCATGATAAATGTTATTTATTGGTCTAGTTGTGAAGATTTTTTTTTCTTTATGTTAAAGTGTAATTCATATTTAAAACTATAGTCTTTGATCATCAGTAAATACTTCAAGTCTTGTTTGCTTTCAACAAACAAGATTGTACCTTCTGCATTATCACAGGTCATGAATGAGTCTTTCTCCAATCTTGATGCTGAGTTTTTCTTCATATAGTCCAACTGTTCAGATTATTTGCTCAGCATACAGATTGAATAAATACAATGAAAAGATACAACCTTGGCACACACCTTTCCTGATTTTATTTTAATCATATTTTGTTTTATTTTCATGTTGTGATTTGGGTGACAGTTTACAGAGCTTTAAGTCAGTTTTTCATTCAACAATTTATACACATTTTGTTCCACAACATTAGTTGCAATTCCCTTCAGTGTAACAGCACTCATCCCATTTCCAGGTTTCCATTTGTCCTTTTTTTCTTTCACCTTTCTTCTTTCTGAGCCTTGTTTACAGGCTAATAGCTACCCTTTGGCCTTCTGTGGTTTACTATTGTGAAAAGTATATATCTTAAGAGTGTTACTGTTCATTTTATGAGCCTGTCTGTTATTTGGCTTCAAGTGATGCCTAGGGGTGAGTTCAATTTGAAGGGTGTCTACAGGTCCCAAACTCAGGGGTTCCACCATTTTTTCAGAACAGTAAATCTGGCCTTATTTGTGGTTTTGAATTTTTTTCTGCATTTTTCTCCCATTCTGTCCAGGATATTCTGTGATCTCAATTAGAAAGGTAGGTAGTGGTTGTTGTTGTTAAGTGCCGTCAAGTCGATTACAACCCATAGCGACCCTGTATAGGGTTTCCAAGGAGCAACTGGTGAGCTTGAACCACCAAACTTGCAGTTCAAACGACTTTGTAGCCTGACACATAAGTCCACGGCGTCACACCAGGACTCCATAGTGGTAGCTAGGCACTATCTAGTTCTTCTGGTCTCAAGGCAGTGGAGGCTGTGGTTTGCATGGTGTATTAATCCTTCTGGTCTAAATAAATTCCTCGAGTCTTTGATTTTCTTCACTCTCTTTTTTTCCTTTCCAAAACTGACATCTTGGATGACTGTTCACTAGCTTTTAAGATCCCAGTTGCTTCTTAGCACAGTTGGGTGTAGGACATTGTTTTGGGGAATTATGTTCTAACCATTGACTCATTTGTCTCCTCAAACTATGGTCCTAACCCCACAAACCCAGTGACTTATTCCAACAAGATGTTTGATTATGGCTAAGAAATTTTCATAACTTTGCCCTTTTATGGTGTGTGTGTGGGTGGGGGGAGGACGTGTGCCATTGAGTCGGTTCCAACTCATAGTGATCCTGCATGGGGTTTCCGAGGCTGTAAATCATTACGGGAGCAGAAAGCCTCATCTTTCTCTGGCAGAACAGCTGGTACTTTTGATCTGCTGACCTTGAGGTTAGCAGTCTGACTCATAACCACTATGCTACAAAAGCTCCTTTATATTCTAACACATATTTGGTGGGAACACAATTCAAACCATGTGTCTATGTGTTGTTGTGTGCTGCCAAGTTGATTCCAACTCACAGTGACCCTATAAGACAGAGTAGACCCCCAGCATTAATAAGAAAGTTCAAAAAACCCCAGAAAACAACAAATGCTGGCAAGGTAGTAAAGAGACTGGCACCCTCCTACACTGCTGGTGGGACTGTAACATGGTGCAACCACTGTGGGAAATGGTATGGCAAGTCCTTAAAAATTGGAAACAGAAATCCTCCTACTACTAACCCAGCAATCCCTCTAGTTAGCATATGTTGTTGTTGTTAGGCGTCACCAAGTTGGTTCTGACTCATAGTGACCTTATGCATGACAGAAGGAAACACCTAAGCCATCCTCATAATCAGTGTTTAACCTGAGCCCATTGCTGCTGCCACAAGGCACAAACACAATGTTAAAGAATAACAATGAATCTGAGAAATACCTTAGAATATGGATGAACCCGGAGGGCATTGTGCTGAAGGAAATCAGTCAGTCATAAAAGGACAAATATTGTATCAGACCATTATTGTGAAAAAGTTTAAGAAAAGGTTTTCATGCTAAAAGCAGCATTCTTTGACGGTTACCAGGATTGGAGCGGAAGGAAGGTAAATTACTGGCTAGAGGGTAAGACCCTGGCCTTGCACAGTGTGGTCTCAGCCAATGGCACAGTTTCTCTGGGCCTCAGTTTTCCTTTCTGGCCCTAAATGCTTCTGAGCACCTCCAGACTGGAGGCTGGGGCCCTCTTCTTGGGGTTGACCTCTTTGACCATCTCTGGTTATGGGGATGGCGCTAGAGGCCCCTCCTTTTCTGAGTGACCCTCCCTTTGGGCTTCTCTCCCAGACCCTGTGCTCACTCATGCTGCTAGAACCCTTTCCACATTTTCCCAAAGTATTGCTATATTCCAGGGTCCCAGTCTTCAGTAATACCAACTCCTTCTGAGGGTGTGAACTTTGCCATCTCTACAGACCCTCTATTTACTTACTTGGAAATATTTCAGTGAAGTTTTTATAACATTATGAAAAGTATGCATTCATATTTAAATTTAGTAATGCAATTGTTTATTTTACTGTCCTGCTTAATTTTGGTTACTATTTTATAGTACTAAAACATAATTGAATTAAAAACACATTTGATTTTGAGAAAGGGAATTTTCTATTGCTAACATCAGTGGAAAAATAAAGTCACTCTCCTAAGGAGAATATGCCATAGAAATAAATAGCAACATAGTTGGAGAGTCTAGATGGAGGCTCTGAGCGCCAGGTCCACAGCTTTGTTCAGAAGAGAGATCAGGGAATACTGGGTATTCAGACATCATGGCACCTAAATACCTAGGAATCCTGGTGTGGTGCTGCAGGATAATGCACTGGACCACAGGGTCAGTTTGAGCCACAAACCTACCGGCCGTTCCTAAGAAACCCTATACAGAGTCGCTCTGAGTTGGAACCGACTTGACAATACTCAACAACAACAAAGGTGATGCTCCTGACCTATTCAGAAAAGCAGTCTCCCCACCATGGAATTCTTGGCTTACTCACATACCTCAGCCTCCATTAGCCTGGGGTAGCTGCTAACCCACACCTCTGTGAAGCCAATCTCTGTGTTGCCCCCATTTTACAGATGAGGAAAACTGAGATTCAGAACAGCCAGTCAAGCTACTCAACTCAGAAGCTCTTCCTCCCAGAAGACGTCTCTGCGTCCTTGAGCCAGGCAGGGACTCCAGGGTTATCCCACAGATGCTCTATGAACCCCATCATGGCATGATAGTGCTGAGGCATCTGCTATGGGACCCTTCTGTAAAACAGAGTTGGCCTGTGGTTCTGTGCTCCAGGCCGCAGCCACCGGATGTCCCCTGCCTCTGGAGATAGGTCCTCCAGGGCTGCCCTGGGGCTAAGTCCTTCTATTTTCATCACTTCCTTCCTCCCACCATCGCCTAGAGCTGCTGCCATCAACTCATCAGGCCCTGGCCTCTCCTTACCCAGTACCGCCTGCCCCTCTCCTGCTTCTCCTCCCACATGGGTGGTAGAACAAAGCCTGGGAGAGAGAGGGGAGGGTGCCCAGACAGGGCTGGATGGGGTGGGGGTGCTCACACTGGGGCGCCATTGGCTTGACTCAGTCAAGGTTTGTTTGTTCATTAATGAAAGATTCTTTGGAAACCTACTCCAGGCCAGGTCTTATCTTCAGAAGAGGACAACCTCACACTGTGCCCTTAAGAGGAGATAGAAAGCCAGGTAGAGCCTGGGGAGAAAGGCCTCACACTGAGGTTCCTGAGTCTTGAGGTAGCATTGTTTGCTGTCACAGCTGGTTGGGTGGCCCTGGACAAGTCACCTTCCCTCTCCAGGTTCTCAAAGCCAGATGTGTAGCTTTGCAGGTGGTACTCTCTGGGTCCCCTCCCTCCTACCTCAGCATCCTCACCATCCAGCCTGTAGCAGCATCAGAATGTGTGGAATCACTGAGCTGGGTGTAAGCTAGGGAACCTAAGGCAACCCTCAGCTTAGGCTGGGGAGCTGGGAGCGGGAACCCTACATGCCCTCTCCCAGGAGGTTCCTGTTCTGGAGTTAGGGCTGGGACTTGCTCAACAATTTCTCCCTGAAAAGGGACTGGAGCCTCTGCTAGGAGGCCAGGACAATCTTGCCTCTTCCTAAGAACTTGCTCCCCTCCCTATCAATTCATCCTTCCTGAGCTGCCTCCACCCTCTGCACTTCCTCCTCCCCCTCCCTATCACCATCATCCAGTTCTTCCCAACTGACTGCCAACACTCACCTCCAGCCAGAGCCCCACCAGTGAGCCCAGTGTGAGATCAGCCAGCCTGAGCATTCCTCTTCGTGTCCTTCAGTCCACACCACTTACAGAGGTGAAAACTGAGACCCAAGGAGTGAGGTGAGTGGCCCCTGGCCCCAGGGCTCAGTGCCTGTGGCCTTCAGGGTGGGTGCTGGCTGCGGGGGGGCCCTCACACTGTTTTGCCTTCAGTCAGCTACCTGATGCACGAGTGGAGAGCCCTGTTCCTGCTCTGGGCCGTGGTGGAGGCCACCCAGGACTGCCCCAAACCATGCACTTGCCAGTCCCTGGAGACCATGGGGCTGTGGGTGGACTGCACAAGCCGGGGGCTTACATCGCTGCCCACCCTGCCCGCCCGTACCCGCCACCTCCTGCTAGCCAACAACAGCCTGCATGAGGTGCCCCCAGGAGCCTTTGACCACCTGCCCCAGCTGCAGATCCTCGACGTGACACAGAACCCCTGGCACTGCGACTGCAGGCTCACCTACCTTCGCCTCTGGCTGGAGGACCGCGCACCTGAGGCCCTGCACCATGTTCTCTGCGCCAGCCCTGGCCCGGCCACCGCCCACCCTCTGGGCCACCTAACTGGCTATGAGCTAGGCAACTGTGGCTGGCAACTGCAGGCCTCTTGGGCCTCCCCTGGCATCTGGTGGGACATGGCACTGGTCATCGTGGCTACAGTGAGTCTGGGGCTCCTGACTGGCCTGCTGTGTACTATCAGCAGGCCCCACCACTGAGCCCAACCCAGTCATCCCGAGGCCACAGATGCTCCCCAAGCCCCTAGTCCTGGTCAGTCCAGTCATCAGTAGCCCAAAATAAACCAACTGCTCTGCTGTCTTATCTAAGTTCAGAGACTTTTTTATTTTGGTTTGGTTTTTTTTGCCTCTCAGCACCGGAGTCTGGCTTGTTGTGGAACCAAAAGCCTTCAATTTAACTTCAACTCATGGTGTCAGCGTGGAACTGCTCCACAGGGTTTTCATTGGCTGAGACTTAGAAATTGATCACCATGCCTTTTCTTTAAGGTATCTTTGGGTGGACTCAAACTACCAACCTTTCAGTTAGGAGCTGAGTGTGCTAACCACTTGCACTGCCCAGGGACCCTTTCCTCCTGCTGGAAATTCATTTTGTCTTCAGAAGACGTCAATTGGCGCAGCTCTGTCCCTCAAATTCTTGGTAAAATGAGCTAACACATTCACAATCTCTTGGTGTTCTTGCCAAGTACTAGGGACCTCAGTTCTCAACCCTCCTGTCTCCTGGTACCCGCTTCCCCCTAAACTGCCCTCAACCAATATCACATAAATGCTAGGTCTTCAAAAAGTTCATGGAAAAATGGATAGGAACACCTAAAAAGGGCACATTCTCTCCCTAAGATGGCCTGAGGCCCACTATCCTCCCCTAGTCCTGTCATTCTTCATCTTCTCTTTCACTTCTTTCTCTTCCTCAACTTCTCTCTCCCCTTCCTCCTCTACTACCCCTAAAGAATGTGAGTCCCCTAAGGAAGGACAAGACCAGGACAAGAATTTTCTGAGGTGCAAAAGCTTCGAGGAATGTTGGATATTCAGTTTACCATCCTCCCTGCGAAGGACCTCCAACACCTCCACCACCACACAGCTTCACTCACCCACATCCATCAACCCCAGGCCAGCCATGCTGAACACACCACTGCTGCCCCCCATGTCAGTGCCACCGCATTCAGGACCCAAGTTATCAACACCATCCGCACCACTTCATTCGCTGTGATCCACACTGCTTCTTCACAACCATCAGGGCAGCGTCCGTTTAATACACTGCCACATCACCTCCCACAAACGAGAACACTAGCACCAAGCAACCACATATGCTGTCCCCAGCATAACCAAACCACCAACTCTACTGTCGCCATCAATCTATCCTAGTAGGCACCATGATACCATCATGGGTATTTTTAGTATCCACGTACACACGGAGAATGTAATTAGTGTAACAATAAATAGGCCAATTCAATGGCTTACTGAAATCACAGTTCACTTTTCACTAGCCTCTAAATCTAACCAGTTGTCTTTATTTCCTAGTGTCGTTGTGACCCAAAAAACCACAAGAAGTTGTCTTTCAAGAACAGAAACATATTTTGTCACAGTTCAGGAAGCCCTAATTCAGGTTTTGACTCTCTAAGAGGATTCTTCTTTGTCTCTTTCAGTTTCTAATGTTCCTTCTTGACTTATAGATGCATCTCTTGTGACTGTCTGTGTTTATTCCACTTTTTTTTTTTTGTCTAGTTATCATGAATCCTGGAGGAACTAACTTATTTATGGTACTCTGGATGGAACAAATCATCTTATTTCTGGAAATTTAGCTGGAAAAAAATCTTAGCAAAAGGGAGCCATTGGCTCGAGGTTACATTCGACCAAAGACATTTCTTACAAAAAGATTCTCTTCATTCAGTCTGAAGTCCGGATGCACTAATACTGTGGCTTCTCTCTAGATCCTTAGTGGAATCACACTCAGCCACAGTAGATGGGAAGTGTTTGATGGCCTGGTTTGATGGCTTCATCACCCCAAATTGTCTTGGGCTCGAGGAAGCATCCCCAGGCCACTGTAGCTCTTGCACAAGTATTTCTCACTGCATAGCTATTCCACTCTTGTTATAATGCACCCTCAGAAGGGATTAATTAGGATTAGGACCCACCCTACTTTAGCATGACTTCATTAATACAACATATTAATACAATGGACATAATAATGCAGCTGTGGTACCTAGTGCTGCTATCACAGAAATAACACAAGTGGATGGCTTTCACAAACAGAAATTTTTTTTCTCACAGCTTGTAGTTGCTAGGTGTCATCAAGTCACTTCTGACTTATAGCAACACTACGTACAAAAACAAAATACAATTGTGGAACAATATACACTTGTCTGTGGATATTCATCAGCTACATGCTCAAATTTATGATATAAATAATTCTCAAAGTGAACACTGAGTGGCTAC